AAAGGTTACTCGGATTTGACCTAGAAAATTATTTAAATAGAAATTCTTAGCTACACTTTTGACGTGATCCTATGTACCGTATTTAACCAATGCGCATATTTTCCTTGTAGGTCTTGGTGCCTAGAATTAATTAGAGATATAACGTATCAACAGTAGTAGTAAATCAAATACAAAGCATTAGAATAAACTGTAAAATGCAGATATCATTCAGTAACACTCTCTGAAGTAGATCTATTTCATATCTTTTTACGGTTGAATTCTAAATTGCTGCCGAATTGTAACAGGCCATATATTCTAAAAGAGGTCAACCGACTCCAAAATTAATGACAGAATTACAACGTATACTAAGGTATTGTAGAAAACCTTGCAATGGGGTTTGTTTGTCAGTATTTTCACGCACATATACTACGTATTATTAATACTCTTTTGAGTTGATATGATACCGTCTTCTTCACAAAATTGTGTGACTATTTCTGTTATAGTTAGATATTACATTTTCGCTAATTTTACGATTTGTCTTAGAGCAAAAGAATTTCGGAAAAGAAATAACACTTTTATCTATAATTACCAAGTATTGATAATATAATATAATATAATACGATACGGCGCTTACATGAAAATACTGATTCGATAAATTCATGTATTCTTGTGCGTCCGCTGAGATTTTTTTGGTATCTCAATATTCAAACACCATAAAATACTTGAGAGGAGTCTTATATTAACAATTTCCCCGACTTCTTTCAGGTTTAAATTTTGCACACGAATTTCTTATATATATAGAGAGAACAACACCCAACAATCCTAAAATCTACAGTTAGCCACATTAATGTAATCGCTCAATACGTAATTAATTGTTCTAGCTTGCTTTAATTTAGACTAAGTAAAAGATATCCGCTGTGAAGTATTAGGCGCAATATACTAGTATATCTTAGGTAAGGTAGAAATGTAAGATATTGCAGTGCATTTAAATTAGCCTAAAATATCATACTTAAGCCTTATGCCATAAATTTTTTAGTACAGTACATTAAGTAATTCGATCCTAACTTCAGGGAGTAAATATAATATGATCTCAAATGTCGTTTCAATTCATAAGTGTGCTTATTTCCTATAGATGAATACGCGTTATAGTTAATCAGAGAACTTAATCTCGTTATCGTGAATTTTTCACTAAGGTAGTGTATATCAGTGATTTTTAATGGTATGGTATCTACGGTGATACCTGGTTTATAATCGATAGCTTCACAAAGTGCGCTTTAATACCTTTAATTTATTTCATTTTCAACATTAAATATCTTAAATTGCTAATAATGCCATCCTATGGTAGCTCAAGTAATCGTTATGGACTTGACCACATTAACTTGGGATTAGTTATGATTATTTGGAATTACATATATTGATATCGCAATATGATCATTTTATTCAATTGGCGTCACAAGTATATTTAGGTATTATATAGATAAATTTAAAACATACGTGTGTGACGTTGATCTCTAAAACTTGAATTACTTTCGAGATTCAATAGCGTCGTGTAATAAACTTTTTTTATTTACACAAGTTTTATTAAGGTCAAATCGATCACCACAGTAATTGAAAAGGAACTTCCGTTATACTTTAGTATTGAAATTTTTTACCAACTAGCAAGTATTCGAGCGACTATTTATTGTGATCTAAAAGGAATCCAATTTCCTTCGTGAGGAATTCTCATGAAATTAATACTTTATTTACGAATGGAGCAACAACAGAAAATTATTTTAAAATTAAGCCTTCTGCTAATTACCGTATTGTATCGCATACTAAATTAAAAGGATATTCTCATTAAATTATTATATAGTATTTCATCTGATCTCCCTATTGTGTAATCCGTGAAATTCAATCTGCTTAGTAATTTCATCTCACAGAATTAAATGAAGAACTTTTTTTCAGGACAATCACTTATTAAAAATATTTTTTACTTAGCACTTATTCGACTGTCCACGTCATAGCTACAAAATTTTCAGTATTCATCATGAAAAATACCATGCACTACTGATCAACGATACAGTATAATCGTATTTATAAGTATAAATGTAGTTACTTGTGCCTATTGCTGTAAAAACAAGGTCAAGAACGACTAATCATCAATTAAACCTAAGCTTTTGCCTCATTGTATCTGCTCCATAGTATCTTAGTAGCGCAATTCGTGGTACCAGTAGTCGATTTAGTTTACATTTTTGTTATTTATTAAGAGAGTGTACATTATTATACTACGTTGAAATTTGCTAAAAGAAACAATATGATTTTTTATTATAATCGTCAATCGATTTATATATCAACTTCACATTCACTAGATGGATTACTTTTATGTCATAAACTTCATTATTTCTTCATTTCCTTCCTAAATTTAGCTGCAACAATAGAAATCCGTAGCCGTGTTATCCGCCGCTTTGCAACTGATGTGATTCTTGAAAATATCTTTTCTTGTAAGATTATCCTTTGAAAGAGTTATAGAATTAAATCTATATGCGTACGTGTGTAATTTGCTTATTCTTTTTCAACATGAAAGATTTTTCCACTACTTAATTCATCGATTGCATTAATGACTGCATGAACTATTGATCTTCTTGTTATCTCTAAGATTGGAATAACTTAGACTCTTCCTATGCTGGCGCGTGCCAAGCTAAATATGAAAAGCGCAATTTTATCACTTTTTATTACATACTGATGCTATATCAATGTGATCATCATGGACATATTTTGAAAAGATAAAAACATTTTAGTAGTTTAGACCTTGTTAATAACTTAGAGTTAGCATTGCAGTTTGGTAACAGAATGCAAGGCAATTTCATTTTCCAGAGCAGAAGAGCATTCAAGTTCTATCTGCTATTTATATGCTTTTAAACTGGCATATTCGTTTATTAATAAACTTAAAAATCGCAAATATTCATCTCTTAGATTACATTTAGCAGCCTATTCAATAAGATCTAAATCAGCATACATATCATTATAGTATATAGTACAATTAAACTATCAAAATGGACATGCATTTATTAAGCAATTTGATTGTACAGTATACGCATTTTTATGGGAATAGAAGGCGTTATGGATCAAAATAATAAGCGGATAAAATAGGTAGAAATTGATAAAAATTTGCTACGAAGCTAATATAACTTCTAGCTAAAAGATTAGCAATATGATTTTCGTAGCTTGTACGAATGAAAGCTTCATTACGTTCTCATATTTTAGTCGTTTCTGATTAATTTGGTGTATTGGGCTATTTGTCACAATGCATAATTTTACTGACCAGAATTATCGGTTAATTAAGAAGTCAATTTTATTATTTACCCATCCTTATAATAAACTGAAATTGAGGTTATAAATGAAATAAAATAAAAGAATAAAGCGCGCAAACTTATATATGTATTGATATAAACAGCAAGATCATTTAAAGCGTTCATTTTATTATTTATCGCTTTTATAAATTAAAGGGAAGTTATGTATCAAATAAGAAACGAACTTACCGTATTAAAAAGACAGATTATTATAATATACTATTGCTACTTAACTGACATACTAGTACCAATGCAGTAATTAATTGAAATTTAACAATATCAGCTACAATATTAAATTAACAAATAGTTTAGTTGGATCTCAAGTGATATAGTATATTATTATTGGTCAGATTAGCTTCCCTGTTTAATCGCATTTTTAGAATAGATTGTATTTGATAGCCAGACTTTCTTATTTGCATGTCTTAAATTAAATTTGCATCGATAAAGAGTTATAAAATATTAATTTGATTGCGTTGCTATTACTGAGATGATTATATTGATATAATGAAAATTCTGATTTGAAAGTCCAAATATTAATTTTAAAACAGAAAATTGATGCGATCTAATCTCGGTATCATACGTAATTGGTTTGGCAAATATGAAACAGAAGCACCTAAAATTAAGTATATTTGACGGCCACTTTATTGTTAACACATTTTCCTAGTACTGTAACTGTAGAATCAGAATATGAATCATTAAGGATAGAAATAAGAATAAAATAATTAAGAAACATTTTATATTTCAAGCTGGATGGTCTGTTTATAGTGTAAATAGAATAATCGATTTAATCTAAGCATATCATTATATTGTTTTATGACACATAATTCTACCATCAGGGCGAGAGAATTACTGATTCATCAACGTATTATTCATAAGTTTCATTGTAATCAGTGAAAGAAAATCGAGATCAAATAACCGGTAAAAGTAAATAAGTTTAATTTTGGATTTCTGTGATTGAAACATGGCTAAAGAGCTCAACGGTACATGAAAACAATGCACTCTTCGACAGCTTTTCGGTTGCCATTATTTAATTTAATTTATGTTTGCCGTCACTTTTGCTTTTGATCGGCTAAATTTTAATAATCAATAGCTAAAGATAGAATCTAAATAAGTGATGAGTAAATTCATCGATTAGATTTTAATTGTTTAAGTGCAAAACAATTTTTTATTTTGATAACAATATTAGTTTTAGATCGGTCGAATACCTTAATTAATTGAAGTTATTGTTCTATCTAGATGAGTTTTGTAATATGGTAACTCTAGATTTGTCTTCAATTCGTTGCATAAAGTTGAATAGCACCAATTCTATTGGTCGGTCTTGACTGCCTCACTAGCAAATAGAATCCTTTAAATTTCTTGATTATCCGACGAGCTGTTTATTTTCATCGATTTATTTCTAGTCGTGAAGTCTAAGTTACATAAGAACATCTCAACACTTCATCTACTGTGCATTCTAAGCCTTTGAGACATTTGAATAAAATAAATTATTTAAGAGTTCAAGTTATATTTTGACTTTAATTTATTGCAATTGACGGTTAAGAGCGCATCGTACTTCCCGCCCATTAAAGAAAGACTACTATAAGAGAATAGCGTGAGAAATACGAAGATATTAAATCAAGCGCTTCTGCTTTTTTTACTTCTTACTGTATCGTCACGGTGTTAATTCTTATATCCATCGACGAAGAAACAAAAATGTCTAATTACAGTTCTTATTCGACATTTCTTGATCAGGATATAGTTCGTGGAGTATGTTGGTCTTTAGCCATCATCAGTATGCCATGCAACCTTATTGTTATTATTCGATTGCTCTATTTTAATTATCGATATTCTAAAACGACTTCTAAAAAATCGGCTTTTTCTCTCCGTCATCATCGATTTGCTATTAGTCGTAATCCATCTATCTTTTTGCTGTTTAATTTAACTCTAAGCGATCTTGTCAGTAGTTTATATCTACTAATCTTAGCCTTTAGCGACGTTTATTACACTGATTATTATCGAAACAAATACGGATTATACCCTGATTATTCTAACATCACCAACGATTGGGTTCTTAGTTCTACTTGCACTTTCGAAAGAATTCTCAGTCAGATTGCCCTACTGATATCAATACTGATGACTTTTGTGGTTGCTGTTGATCGATTTATTTTAGTTGTTTATCCGCACAGTCGTCGCAAGATAACAGTTAAAGGTGCGCGCATTATTTCTCTTGTCTGTTGGCTGTTTGCACTAGTTATCGCTATCGTGGCCATTGCTTATTCATTGGAAAGTGTGGCATCCCGCCCTAGGACTCGACGTGATATTCTTGCTCAACTTTGCCTTACCGATTCAAGTCGAAGTTTTGTTGTTTTTGTAATTACTTTTTTCGAGTTATTTCTTGGGTGTAGCATGTATGTTACAGCAATGATATTATATATCATAATATGTGTCAAATTAAAGCAATCAAAACAGTTTAGATCCGATTCATCTAATCGTATTGAGAAGCGAATTAGCATTATTTTGGCGTCCGTGGTATTTACTAATGTTTTCACGTACCTACCAATCACACTAATTTCTATACTTGGTCGTTATATTCCTGGCTTCAACTCCGGCCAGTTGTTTCCAACACTGGTTATTCTACTGTACTTAAATGCTGCAGTTAATCCAATCCTCTTATTGACAATGAGTGCTGGTGCCGTCTCCAATGGTAATGGCAATAAAATTATTCATAGTGGAACGAATACATCTGGCAAAATAAACACGACATAATTATTGATCAACCGCCACTCTTGATAGCCAAGCCTTAACTACCAATACTTTAAAATTAGATATGCAGTCATCGTGCCCGCTACATAATATTAAAATTGTGTCTGTCATGAGTTATGGAGGTAACATTCTTCAGTTTTAGACCTTCACTATTATGTGTTGTAAGTGTATTTGATAGTTCCTTCCTTGATTGTATAAAAAATTGTGTCATTTCAATTTCAGAAATTTGAGTTATTGCAGTTCAGATTACAAGTTTTAGAATTATCCCACGTCTTATGAGTAGATTAGCTGTCAATCAATGTGGTATTCTAAAGGAGCAATTTTCCTTAAGTTTCCAAATTGTGTGCTAAATTTGATTTATAACTTACTTTAATCTCTAGATTATATAGGATTATCATGTGAATTATCGTATATATAATATTGTGAACTTCCGTTGATCGATGAAATTTATCTTATTATGTAAGTTATGAATTGTTAACGCTAGATATTTCAGTATAAATAGTAGCGATACTTCCATTTTATGATCATGCTTAGAATTTATTCATATCTTTTAATGCCTTGGTTATTTAAACGGCTAGCATCCGAAGAAGTATCGTAATTTTAGTGAGCACATAGTTTCAGTTCTAGCTATTATTTCCGTATCATAGAATCGAAAATGTGTATCTTATTATGATGAAAATCTTTACCTCAGTATTAATATCGTCTATAGCGGAGCAAGTTTATAACTTTATACGAGTACATACATCAGGAATCCACCTGTGAGTTTAAGTATGAATTAAGTAAATATCGTGCTAGGCAGCAGTAATTAATTTTTATTATCTAGATTGGGCGTATATAAATTCATTATTATCCGAATTCATCGTCATCATTAAGCCCTGTGAATAACGGAAGAAGGGCATTTATACACCTGTATCTATACTAAAGCTGATTTCTTTTGGACTACATTCTGATTACGTTCAATATTGAGCCATTAATAACGTAGGTGTTGAGCACAATTAGATTCACTAAGTAAATGGTATCTGTAATTATAATTTAAACTGTAAATTCAACTAGACACGATCAAAATATTTCAATAGAAGTATAAGTACCTAAGTAATGTCAGAAATGAATATGATTAAATACGGTTGTAATGACCGAGTAACAGTCTCCTGCTATTACTATAGGTTCACTAACGTAACCTAAAATTTAAATTAACAAAAATTGAGTAATTCCCTAATGTGACAGTCTTATAGTAGACACTGTACAAGTGTGCCGTCTCATCCTATTAGCCACCCACCTACTATACTACTTTAATTAGCTGAAATAATTACAACGGTACTTTCCAACATTTTCGCTCTTAGGTTCTGCCTTTATAATTGCCTGTAAAGTATAAGTGTAAACAGTGTGTTTCGTAGATTAAATTATGGTGTTAAATTAGCGTTTGAATTCTTATACTAATATTTAATATCATTAATTGCGAAATGATTGCTTTTGACTAATCTAGCCCCAGCTGAATAAATTTAAATGGAATACAATTATTTCTAATGATTTTCAATGATAGGCTATAATCATACCAGTTGCATAAATGCCGTTCTATATAGACGAGTGTCACAACTCACTAGTTGGAATAAGAAAAATACAAGTCATCTTAAGACACAAAGTCAAGTTTTTGAACGAAAGTCGTTAACAACAGTTATCTTTATTTTAAGAGAAACTCTGGTTATATAGAAAGCATCTATGCGCAAAAATGTTATTATTGCCATCTCTATCTCTTAATTTAGTGTTCATCACCCTAGTAAATATATAAACACATTTTCCTATCGTATCCCACTTTTTCTAGAACTCTTGTCTAGAACAACGTTCGGCGACTATAATATTAACCATGCAATCGTAATCATGATATCAAAATACTCTAATAATAGTTTTACTAAATTTAGTATCAGTAAGGTATCGGTATATCAGCAAATGCATAAGGATCTTATAAAAACATAAATATCCTATTTTAAGACCTATTCTTACTTATGTGCATTTTAATACCCCAAAGTTATAAAGTTTATACTTTATAATACTAACGGTATTGTAACAACGAGATATAAGTTATCAAGCATAATATTATTAGCAAGAGATAAATTTACTGAGAAAACATTTGCTTATCCAATATCAAAGATTTAATTAAATTGTGGGTCTACCTTCAGTGTTACCGCAACTACAATTCTAGCTATCATTATTCATTAATTATAAGACTGTTATTAACACAAGAATTTTAATAATAGTACGAAGACATAGATGGTTTATGATTAAATATTAGTATTGAATGAATAAAACTACCGACATTAACATCAATGGAGATACCATGGAGATTTTGTTTCTTGTGAACTTTTTCGTTCACAGATACAATAAAAGGATTGTCGTTATCACAGTATTCTAAATAATTAAGGTCTATTTTAGTTTCATAATTTACAGCACCAAAGGGATTGACACCGTATGAAAGCATGATTTTATTACTAAATAAGCAGAATAGCAGCTATTACTTTCATATCAAATTTAATTTAATGTCACAATAGCACCGTCGCTATCGAAGCTAGATACTGTTATAGTTACGACATTAAATTTTTTATATTGATCTAACTTCAATTGAAACTATTTAACGTTATTGTTATCGTTAGAATCAATAACTTTAACCTTACTAACTTGCTACTGAAGATCTTGCATTTACTTCGGTGGCTTATTTATTCAGCTGAGATTGATAAGCTTTCTTGGAAATCATGTTGCTTCGATTCTATAGAATTGAAATCACAAATATTGATATAAAAGAAAAAATCTTTGATTGTATACTTCACGAATAAGTCTTATTTTTCCCTCTATTTTATAGCTTAGTCAGTACTTTGGTCAATAGAAAGGATGAAAAATTAATGTTTACGTTAAACATGGCCTCTTTTACTGCATGGGTGATTAATTATTGTTGACCATGCGCGATACTTGATCAGGTTTAGATGTATGAAATGCTCTTAAAATGTGTACTAAAAATGGCCTACAGTTAGGACAATTCTTCGACGTAAAAGCCTTTATGTTAGTATTTACCTTTATTGATGTGGTTTATTGTAGTACAGTCCATGTTATTGGTTAATCTACAGTGCTTGGTAAATGGAATGTATGTTAGATCAGGAACCTCCGAGGGGAAATTCAATTTTCTGTTAGAATTCCCTAATTAGACTTGCTTTGCCATACGTTTATCATCGTTACTTCAGCTCATGGTACAAATTTCTTAGTTATAATTTATCGTTTAGCTGTGTTAAGAAGAATTTTTCTTTCATCTAATCATCAGGACATTACATTTCCTCTATTCCTATTTGAAAACTGGAAGTGATATGGCTCTATTTACAGCTACTGCTAAATGACGTGAATAAGAAAAATTACACTTGAATAACTAAAATGAAAAGGGTATTAACTGACTTATCTGTTGAACTGATCAAGTAGTATAGAATTAAGGAAAGTACTTGTTATTTTAGAAAGTTGAATTGCTATAAAATTGATATTTATGATAAAATAACAATTATATTCAATATTAACTGGCTAAACTTTAATGTCGTTGATTCAATCTATCAAGATTAGCTTTCATCTTCGAAGGATAAATAATTAAGATTAGTTTCAATTATTAATTAGAAGTATGAGCTGACATCAGTTACAAGATGGTCTTACTGCTTTAGTCGCTATAACCAAACATGTATATATTATTCAGATATACAATATAGATTAAAATATGATAAAAAATATGTTAATGGCAAAGTAGACATTAAATTAACTGTGATACTATTAACAATTGTTTTATTTTTTCCTTCATCAATGCATTCAGAAATAGTCTATGCACTGGCTACTATGATGAGTCAGTATGCTAATCTCGACAATCTCAATTTTAAATTGCCGTAATATCTATTGTAGTATCTTCATAACTACTAAAGCTATTCAATAGGTATTATCTTTTTATCTTCGTATTTTATAATAGAAATAGAATTATTATCCGCTATACAGAAAATGAGGAAGAGGCTTGGGTCTCTAAAATGTACTATCGTCTCATATTGTAAAAAAATCCTAACTCTTAGATTGCTTCGCTTCTAAAGTATTACTTTTAAAAGTTGTCTGCGTCAAGTTTCTGCTATGAAAATATCATTCCATATTTTAAGATAGATCATACTTTGCATAGCAGGCTATTCTCTACTACTAACGTTTAATTAATTCAAAAGCAATGTCGTCAATGAAGCTCTGTAATGCAGTAGTGCACACATATTTTTCTTGTCTGTGACAGTTTTGACTTTAAATTGGGGTTTTTAGTGACGCAGAAATGATTTGAGCTATTGTACAAAACTTAACCTTAAAGTAAGGTATCATCATATTAATTTCATTTGATACTCTATTCTTTAAGTTTTTTTAACAACTGTTCTTGTAAGCATTAATATTGATATAACAGATTAAAACAACATTTTACCTATGGTTCCAAGTAGATATTACTAGCAACTAAAGATTGCTTAAATGAGTTGTATAGATAAGAAACTCGCTTACATTTAAGAAATTGCTGATGCAATTGTTTCCAGGTATAATTTTTACTGTTATAATGTACGACGCTAGCAACCAGAAGTTAAAGGTCATGTGAAATAAATAAAATTTTCAAACTTTTAATCAACGTGATGGAATGACAAATTTGCCTTCCAGATTCAGTTTGTAATATAAACAAGAATACCAGCCTCTGATTCAAATACTATTTAGCTAAGTTGCTTTTATTAATTGATTCCAGATTAACGAGTTATATGAATTCATAGTTAACACAAGGATCCATAATAAATACCGTCGTTAATTTTATAATATTATTTCCTGTCTTTACTGTTTTAGTCAGCGAGCTATGATATAGGTAAGATTTCTGCATCGCAAATTTTTAGCTAACATCAATTTCTCAGATGGATTAACCAATTAAGAGAATTAGTTTAACATCATTTGCTTGCTCTGGATGATTCAATTTTAGGCTATCAGTA